GACTTCAACTCCCAGAATTCCCCAGCCAGCTTGCTGGCTGGGGAATTCTGGGAGTTGAAGTCCATATATCTTAAAGTCCATAAATCTTGAAGTCCATATATCTTAAAGTCCATATATCTTAAATCCATATATCACATCTTATATATCTGAAGTCCATATATCTTAAAGCTAAGGTTGAGAAACACTGATCTACAGTATCATGGTTCTAAGCAGTTCTTAGCAGCAAGCAATAATCAAAATGAGGCTGTACTGTCCAGATATTCTGACACAAGCTTTTCAAAAAGTGTTCAGTCCCCAACATATTGGGGACCAGGTATTAACTGTGACCTCAAAAGGCATCCAAGACTCTCTCTACCCCCCCTCCCACCCCACACACAATTCCAAAATCACATCTGTCAGGAGAACTCTTTAGCATGACCTCGCTCCACATGAGCTCATTTGTGGTTTCATTGCCTTTCGTTCTTCCAACTTCTGTCCAATTTTAGCAGCCCACAGTAAAATAGCTTCTGTTGAAGCCTTCCCAAAAACAATAATAATAACACAAAAATCCCCTGATATTCTTCCAGTGCTACTCAGGTTGAAATACTCTGAGTTCTGTGTCTCTCTAAGTTCTCCAGTCCAGGCAATTTATCCGAGAAGGAATCCCAACCAATGGAAAGCTTAGGCTGAGTCCTATAAAGACCTGCTGTTCTTCTCAGCCTAGGATCTCTCCAGCTCAGCCGAGGATCTCAGCCTAGAAACTTTCCCCGAGGCTCTCTGATCCCCACACCCCAAAAGAAGATCTTCTCTCCACTTGCAAGCCGGAGTGATGACCGGACTCAAACCGGCCCTTGTCTTCTTTCTTGTCTTCATCTGTGTCTTGGCTCAAGGTATTTGGGATATCTTGGAACATCTACTGTACATCTATGCATGGATCTGTGTGTATGTGGAGAGAGAAAGAGAGAGAGACGTTCTTCTGTCCTTCCCCCCCCCCCAGCCTTTTTATCAATTTGCATAGCTACGTAGGAATTAAAGGGGCAAGATGGGCCACAAATCTTCAAGATCAAGGAGGAGGACAGCATTAATGCATTAATTAATTAATTTCTGTCCTCCAGGCGGCATACGTCACTCTCTTGCTCCTACTTTTCCCCACAACAACAACCCTGTGAGGTAGGTTGGGCTTGCAAGAGGACCAAGGCTAATTTATCATGCTGCTACAATTAATGGAGAGTCAATCATTGTTCATAATTGCTAGATGATATGCTATCGAGATCTGAGAGGGATAGAGAAAGAGACTTTTCTTCCTCTCTAGTAAAATCAGAACTTGAAGTTACATAAGGAAGGGGCCTCTTCCTATGGTTTGTGTACAGAACTCACTACCCTAAGATGCAATGAGAGTGATCCGTTGTGTTAAGAAGGCAAATGTGCCCTTAAAGCAAGTTGTAGCTAACTTGAAAAGGTGATGAGACGTATTTATGGTGGAGAAAGGCCTACTGACACAATGCTTAAACATGGTCCTGATAGAGACAGAACATTATTGCAGGGGGCAGGATGGAGGGGAACATTTCACTGAACTTCGCAGAGGCATCTTATTGGCCACTGTATGAACTCAGATTGCTAGACTGGACAGATCTTCTGGTCTGCTCTAGACAGATCATCTCCTGTATTTTTAGATCTATTCCTATCTAGACCTGTTTATTACAGCTGAGGAAAGAAAAGGAGGAAGCCCCATTCATTTCAGTAGATTTGTTCCCAAATGGCAGATATCAGCCCCAGGATATCAAAAGTCACATGCATCCAAGATGGGAAGAGGTGGTCTACTTCTGAATTTTAAACAGTGGGGAAAATCAAGAGTGGGGATCCTGATCAGGAGAAGACCCTAGTCCAGACAGACCTGTGGTCTGATCCAGTCACTCTTATGTCCTTACATGTAGCCTTCCAATCACGATTTTAATACAGGTGATTGTTTAGTAAGAGTACATGGCTAATCATTTTGCAAAGGGGACCACAGAGACACAGCCAGGTGGCATCTTACAGTGCTGAGCTCCAGTCCATGAGACAGCAGATGGCAATGCTGGCATA